TCAGAGGAAGATGACATACCTGACGAGATTGTCAAAGAAGTTGAGAACTTTGAGAACAGGCCTAAGTCCAACCTCGACGAGACCGAAATTGTCAATATGGGATATGCAGAAAACGTTAAGGAAACACGAATTAGCGTTCACCTATCGCCATCAGAAAAGAAAGAATACATAGAATTTCTAAAAGAATATGAGGACATATTCGACTGGTTATATGATGACATAACTAGTCTGAGTACATCTATTGTGGCTCACAAACTGCCAACCGATCCAATGTGTCCACCGGTAAAGCAAAAGCTCAGAAATTTCAAGCCTGATATGAGTTTGAAAATCAAGTAAGAAGTCACCAAGCAGGTCAAAGCTAAGGATCTCAAGGTAGTAAAATACCCGACATGGTTAGAAAACATTGTGCCAGTACCAAAGAAGGACGGGAAGGTCAGAGTCTGAGTCGACTACTCGAATCTCAACCGGGCCAGTCCGAGAAGACGACTTCCCTTTTGCCAAATATACACATCTTGATTGACAATTGCGCCAAGCACGAATTACAGTCAGTTGTAGATTGCTTCGCTGGTTATCATCAGATCTGGATGGATGAAGAAGATGCTGAGAAAACGGCCTTCATTACACCATAGGGAATGTACTGCTATAGGATGATGCCATTCGGCCTAAAGAATGTAGGAGCCACCTACATGAGGGCCATGACTACCATTTTCCATGACATGATACATAAGGAGATAGAGGTATATGTGGACGATATTATTATCAAATTCAAGAAGGCCATTGACCACACGAGAGATCTGAGGAAGTTCTTCAACAGATTGTGGAGATACAACCTGAAACTAAACCCCGCAAAGTGCGTATTTGGGGTTCCTGCTGGGAAACTACTTGGGTTTATTATGAGCCGCCGAGGAATAAAATTGGATCCATCAAAAGTCAAAGCTATTCAGGAACTACCACCACTAAAGAACAAGAAGAATGTGATTAGTTTCTTGGGGAGGCTTAACTACATCATCTGATTCATAGCACAGTCTACAGTTATCTGTGAGCCAATCTTTAAAATGTTGAAGAAGGACCCCGCTACCAAATGGACTGATGACTGCAAAAAGGCATTCGACAAAATCAAGGAGTACTTGTCAACACCACCAATCTTAGTCCCGCCCGAGCCAGGTAGACCCTTATTACTCTAACTTGTAGTATTGGATGGAGATTTCGGTTGCGTTCTGAGGCATCATGATGAAACGGGGAGGAAGGAGCAAGCCATCTATTATCACAGTAAGAAATTCACCCCGTACGAGGCCCAGTATTCTCTATTGGAATGCACCCGTTGTGCCTACACTTTCAGAAGCTGAGACAATACTTTTGTGCCTACACTACATATCTCATATCGAGAATGGATCCTTTAAAATACATCTTTCAGAAACCTATGCCCACCGGCAAGCTAGCCAAGTGGCAAATCCTATTGTGTAAATTTGACATTGTTTACGTAACTCAGAAAGCGGTCAAGGGACATGCACTAGCAGACCACCTTGCTAAAAACCCTGTGGATGGAGGATACGAACCCCTGAAAACGTATTTTCCTGATGAAGAGGTATCATTCATAGGAGAAGACATTGCAGAATCCTATGACGGTTGGAGAATGTATTTCTATGGAGCAGCAAATTTCAAATGAGTTGGCATAGGAGCAGTCCTAATACTAGAAACCCGTCAGCATTACCCGGTGTCTTCCAAACACAGGTTCTCGTGCACCAACAATATGGCCGAGTATGAAGCCTGCATATTAGGGTTCAAAATGGCCATTGACATGAACGCTCAAGAGCTGCCAGTAATTGGAGATTTAGACCTACTTATACATCAGGTACGAGAAGCATGGGCAACCAAAAACTCTAAGAATTGAGAAATAGGTTCACAAAGATAGAGTTCCAGCATGTTCCCAGAGTCCAGAATGAGTTTGCCGATGCATTGGCTACCCTATCATATATGATACAGCATCCAGACAAGAACTTCATTGATCCCAGTCTGGTGAAAATCTACAATCAACCAGCTTACTCTGCCCATGTTGAAGAGGAAGCAGACGGAAAGCCTTGGTTTCATAATATCAAGGAATATTTGGCAAAAGGAGAGCACCTAGAGCCTGCAAATCGTACTCAGAAACGCACACTTCGGAGATTGTCCAACAACTTCTTTCATAGCGGAGGAATCCCGTATATGAGGACTCCTGATTTGGGACTATTAAGATATGTCGACGCAAAGGAAGCATCCAAGCTACTAGAGGAAATTCATGCTGGGACCTGCGAGCCACATATGAATGATTTTGTCTTAGCAAAGAAGATACTCCAGGCTGGTTACTTTTGGATGACTATGGAAACAGATTGCATACAGTATGTCCGGAAATGCCATCGTTGTTAGATACATGCAGACATGATAAAGGTACCTCTAAGCGAGCTTCACACAACAAGCTCACTATGGCCGTTCGTCGCCTGGGGAATGGACGTTATTGGACCAATCGAGCATGCCGCTTCCAACGGACACAGGTTTATCTTAGTAGCCATCGACTATTTCAGCAAATAGATCGGAGCAACATCTTACAAAGCAGTAACCAAGAAAGTCATGGCAGACATTGTCCGCGACCGCATTGTTTGTCGATTCGGAATTCCAAAGTCAATCATTACTGATAATGGATCCAACCTCAACCGTGACTTGATGAAAGCTACGTGTAAAACCTTCAAGATCAGATACAAGAATTCCACAGCCTATAGACCTCAGATGATTGGAGCTGTAGAAGCCACCAACAAAAATATCAAGAAGATATTGAGCAAAATGATAAAGAAACATAAACAGTGGCACGAGAAGTTGTCATTTGCTCTTTTGGGGTATTACACCACAGTCCGCACATCAACCGGGGCAACCCCCCTATATTCTTGTTTATAGCACAGAGGTTGTCATTCCCGTTAGAGTATAAATTCCTTCCCTAAGGATCATACAAAAAGCTGAGCTCGACGACACAGAGTGGGCAAAAAGTCGTTATGAGCAACTAGCCCTTATAGACGGAAAGAGAATGAATGCAGTCTGCCATGGTCAGCTATATCAGAACAGAATGTCCAGAGCCTTCAACAAAAGAGTGAGGCCAAGACAATTCACACCGGGGCAACTGGTGTTAAAGAAAATATTTTCGCATCAAGATAGTACAAGTACTGAAATTGATAATAAATTGTTGTAGTATTTGATAAAAAATGCTTATAAGATTTTTTCCTGTTAAATTGACTTAAATAACCTTAGAACCGCTTAAACTTATAAGGGCGTAATTTTTTTAAAATTTTAGATTCCGATTCAAATACACAATATTCTATTTGTCATTCCATTTTAAATACAACTATGCTTAGATAAGATAATTTTTACGATAAATATAATCTATTTTATGATAAGTATATAATCATAAGTTATAATAAATAATAAATTGACAAAAGTTCCTCAGTAAAAAACAAACTTAAATAGGACAAAATATTTGAGGCATTGAGTATCGATGTAGGAGTTTTGTTCTAAAAAAATGTGTTAAGGATAAAATAGTAAAAATTTTGGTCAAACTTAAAGTGCTTGTAAGCTAAAAATTCATAAGCTGAGGGTGATCAACTTATGGCTTTTGGCTTATTTTTGACTTGTAAGTACTTTTAACTTTACCAAACTCGTAAATAAGCCGAAAAATACTTATAAGTTAGTTTGACCAGCTTATAAGCTTAGCCAAACACCCTCTTAGTTGTTTGTTTAACGAACTTGGTATATCTCTTCTAAGACAAGAGGGGTTGCTCATATGGTAAGCAACCTCCACTTCCAACCAAGAGGTTGTGAGTTCGAGTTTCCCCAAGAGCAAGGTGGGAAGTTCTTGGAGGGAAGGATGTCGGGTTTCTATTTGGAAACAGCCTCTCTATTCCAGGGTAGGGGTAAGGTTTGCGTACACATTACCCTCCCCAGACCCCACTAAGTAGGGGTGGGCGTTCGGTATTTCGGTTCGGTATGTAAGAATTTCGGTTTGGTGTTTCGGTATTCGGTTTATCAATTGTGTATACCAAATACCATAACAAAATATTTCGGTATGGTTCGGTATTTCTTATTTTGATTCGGTACGGTTTTGGTACGGTTTCGGTTTAACAATCAATGAATAATCAATGCTAACATCGCACATGCACAATTGAAATTTTCACTCTAAAAGAATCTGTTTTCCGATATATAACAGTGCACAACTACACAATGTGCACATGGCTGAAACAAGAATAACATATTATATTCTGGCAATTCTGACTGAAACCCCTGTGATAACCAATTCACATGGCTTAAGAATAAGTGAAAAGCAAAAGCTGAACAAGACAACAACTTCTTTACAATCTGGCAATCTGCAGTTGCACGCCAGTTTATTGTATGTCATATTATTATACAATATTACAATCTGCATTCTGCACGCCAGTATTAGTATACAAGTGAAAAGCAAAAGCTGGCCAATTGCACAATGCACATTACACAACTATATTAAACAACTTAAACACAGTTGACATTTCAATACTGCAATTAACTGGCCAACTGCACATTACACAACTTAATACTTAACACAGTACACAATTGAATCTGTACACAACTACACAACACATTACACAACTTAATACTTAACACAGTACACAATTGAATCTGTACACAACTACACAACACATTACACAACTTAACACTTAAACACAGTGCAATAAAAACATAGTCCAACAAAAACAGTCTTAACACTTAAACACAGTGCAACTGGCCAACTGCAAGTCTACAACAGTCTTAACAGTCTTAACACTTAAACAGTTAAACATAGTGCAACAAAAACAGAGAGGGCATCCCTCAACAAACAGTCTTAATTCTTAAACATGAATTCCAGGAAGACGCGCAAGACAACGCTTAATATGCTTCCTTAAACCAATTGTTTCATTCCTCTTTGGATTAACATTATATACTTGACCATAATATTTGCACTCTACTTTGCTAACTTCTCCGTTATCTTCTTTCACCACAAAGTATTCCCCAATATCGGAGCGTTGAGCAGTAGCACGGGGCATGATTGCACTTGAACCTAAAAAAAATATAAATCATAAGTTAGAATATTATAGTTTGATGATAATAAAACAAAACTACAAAATATTAAGTATATCATTATCACCAAACAAATAGAGTATTAAACTTACCACTCAAGATGCAAGTTGCAACTATACATCAAACAATGCTAGTAGTGCTTCCATTATTTTCCATATCTAAAGATAATACGACCAAATATGTCATACAAATGAAAAAGCATGATATATTATTTTGAATTAAAATACACACAAAATATTAAAGCTTACCAAGCTCGAGTTCCTCAAGATACTTCAAGTCTTCTTCAACACTAATAGGATTCTTCTCTTCTCTAAGCCAATCTTGAACACAAATAAGAGCTTTCGCACATTTAGGAGTCAATGAACTCCTAAATGAATCAAGAATACGGCCACCAGTGCTAAACGCGCATTCTGACGCCACATTAGAAATTGGAATTGCCAACACATCACGAGCCAACTCTGAAAGAATAGGAAATCTAGGAGCATGTGTTTTCCACCAA